GGGTTTAGGGTTTAGGGTCATTATGCTTCGATTTTGCATAGAAGGATTCAGATTAGGTTAGGTCCTTAGAATGTGGCCCTACATGCTCGTTGTTTGCAGTAGCCCCCATACAGCATGCAGGGCGACAGATAACGGATGTAGGGCTTTGGGGATTTGTGGTGAAAGAACATGGGGCTGTCTGGATTTCGGGTCAGGGACGTTACTACATATGCAAACGCAGTCACCAACTTCACATGGCTCCCTATAAACACTCACCCATGTGGTATTTTTCTGATATACCCTAAGGGCTCAACATAGCCAAAAGCCTTATATAGTATGGTATTNNAAGGCCTTAAAATATGAGTCCTTAGAGCCATTATAGTGATAGGCAGCATCTAGAGCGCCTCACACGCCGCCCGGCCGCAAGACTTATGGCCCAGAACCCTGCATCCTAACTCCAAGGCTCGCCTCGGCGGATTTAATATACGGGCCTAAATAATTGCCAAAACTATTTTTTGGGGCTCCGTAGTAATATCTATATATGTATGTGTGTATATATATATATACATAGATAATTATGCTATAGTATACCGGGCCCCCAAACCCTACTCCATTGATTCATTAGGGCCCCGACATTTCGTCAAAAAGAAGGCCGAACGCTAAAGCGTTGCGAACTCCGAGTTTCCCTATATGTAGTCTTCCCATGGTAGTTAGTCTTTGGGATTGTCTTTATAGGATCTTTCAAATATATATATGTATATATATATATAGAGTGGCTAAGCCAAAAAAATACACTGGATACTATTTTTCCAAGGTCGCCCTTGGGCTCAGCATCGCCCGACAGGCTTGAAGAGCAATATAGGGCCTTAGTAATTAGAATAGGGTTTGGGGGGTACGTATATTGTACTATAAATATTATAAGGAAACCCCCAGAACCCTGTTCAAATTATCAAGGCCACTAGAGTATGGCTTGGGGGAATCCCAAAGCCTCAACGCAGGATTCCTGACCGAGACTTCGCACATGTCGGTCAGGCCCTATATCCCAAACCGAGGCTACCAAAGCCCCAAAGCCCCAGACCCTTAACCCGAAACCTTTAACCCGAAACCCTAAACCCTAGACTCTAGACCCTAGAACCCTAAACCCTAGACGCTAAACCCTAGAACCCTAAACCCTAGACGCTAAACCCTAGAACCCTCAACCCGAAGCCCAAGGAACGCCACGCCGCAGAGCACGCCGCTGAGCACCTGCCCGAGCCCCTCCCACAGCGAACGCTCGAAGAAGTGGATCCTCGAGCGCTCCTTGGCATGCTCTTTAAGGGGGGTTTAGGGTTAAGGGTTTAGGGTTAAGGGTTTAGGGTTTAGAGTTTAGGGTTAAGGGTTTAGGGTTAAGGGTTTAGTTTTTAGGGTTTAGAGTTTAGGGTTAAGGGTTAAGGGTT